TGAAAAAACAGGCGAAGGTGCAAGATCAAATAGCTATGCCAACTCAAATTAATCAGCGCGAAGAAACACCAAAACGTGATTCTGTAACGAATGATATCACAGATCGCAATCAAGAAGCGCGATTCGGGTTTACTAATATCGGGAGTACAGGAAGCGTAAGTAATATATTATAATTTATAAAATTAAAATATATAATTAGTTAAAAATTTTCCATAATAAAATAATCACATTAAAATATTTCCAATATTAAATTTATTCAATTAACTTTAAGGGCTATGGCATGTCACCTTACGCACCAGCGAAAATAGACCTTGGCGGACTTCTGTTGGGTGCCATCATAGGTGTAGGATCAATCCTTATCATACCAAAATTACTCTATATCCTGTCTGGTACTTATGGCGCTTATGCGAGAAGTAAGTTTAATATTTATAAATGATATAATAATATTTTTAAATTATATACCGAATAAGGATATTAAAGGAATAAAAATAAAATAATGTATATTTCCGTTATTTGACATAAATTTCAGTCCTCTTTGATGCATTAGATCATATAGAAGGAAAGCATACAAGATGGAACATTTTTTGAAAATTTATCAAAAACCATTACATAGATGTTTAGTTTACGTTGTTTTTTTAAAATTTAGTAAAAAAAAATCTAAATATTTTAAAATTTTCTTGTGAATAATGACAAAAAAGAAAGTGTCGATTCTCGACTTATTTGAAAAGTGCGAGCAAGATGAACCATTAAATATATAATCATATAAACGAATTAGAATATATTAGAATATAAAATACATATATTTCTAAATATATGTCAACTGATACATATATTTCTAAATATATGTCTAATTTAAAAACAATAAACATAAAAACGAATAACCTTAACATTTCAAAAGATACAAAATTATTATATATAAAATTATTAATTATATTTTTTATATATAATTATTAATTATAAAAGAAAAATTATTAGCTTGTCTAATATAACACAATTAAGCTAAATTATTGTTTAACATAACTACTTGTAGAATTACAGATAATAATAATAATAAAAATTAAATGAAATTATTTGAACAATTTTTACTATTATTAACTTTGCAAAAATCACAAGTATAGATTTCTGTCATAATTTACAGCACATTCAAACTAAAGTAAAGCAAAAGAAAAACACTGTTATTTTTAAAATTTTGAGATATATATAATGAGATACATATGAGATAAGATAAAAGCACATATAAGATAAAACAAATCTTGTAGCACTTCATTTTATTATTCTTCATCATCTCCCAACTTACTCGCAATGCTACATAATTTATGAATAACAAGTTATCAGATTAAAAAATCATATTATGTATATTTTTAGCAAACAAAATATAATTATTATATAACATAGAAGTAACATATAATATAATATAACATATATATAATATAACAGCAGTTATATTATATATATATAACTGTATATATATATATATATATATATATATATATAT